GTGATTTTTCTCATTTATTCTACTGATACAGTTTACCATAGTCACTGATCTTCAGGATTCAATCAATTCTTGCAATACTAGGATGCATTTCACTTGGTCAAGGCACAAACATCTGTTAATGTTTTTAGATTTAGTTTTCTAGCAGTTGTTTTTGCACCTATAGCCACAAGAGTTGTAGGGTTTATCACATTCCACTTGAAGCAGACTATCACAAACATTAGCAAAACTTAACTTCTAACCTTCATATGCAAATAAGGCACATTTACAACTGGTAATAATAACTATTTTAGAAATGCTCATCTGTATGAAGCCGGGTCAGATAGTTTTGAAATGGACTCTGCCTTTCATGTGAACACAGTAACAACAGAAAAAGGCACAGTGAATCCTCAGTGCCTGTTAAGAAAGGTATTTCAGTCAAAATCTTATTCTTGAATTTAAGATCTAGAAGACAAAACAACTTTTTACTTTTTACTTCTGTGCTATGGCACAGGAATGCTAGCACAAAATCAAAACCAAAAACAAAATCAAAGACATACAATCTAAATTTGCACACACTTAACACTAGATATTTTTTATTTAAGTGTTGGCTTCATCTACAAAAGGTATCTCAGTACGGTGTTAAGTGAAAAAAGCAGCTAAGCTTTGGACCAAATGACAGCACCAAGTTCTTTAACAACAGACCTAAACACATAAACCAGATTCCTCACTCTCAAACTCAGCTGGTCAAAACGACTTTTAAGAAAAAGAACATCACTTGAAACGAAATCACACAAAACAATGGTTCCATTATTATCACCAAGAAATGATTTCTTACCAAAGTTCTCTCTGATTTTCGAACAAACGGAAATTTTTCTACCAGTATTGGCATAAGAAACCACGGTGTCCTATTTAAAAACAAACATAACAACCAATTCAGGTTAACTGGACTTTCCACAAGCTAAAGTTTCTACTCTAAAGAGCAAATATGGGTTTGGGAACAAATGGTAACTGCTACCACAATTAGAATATAAAATAAATGCAGGACTTCAGGGAAAATCTTTAACTTAGGGGAGAAAATAAACCTCTACTATCAAAAGCAAATTAACAGGATCTTCTCTTCTACAAAAGTTTGACAAAGTGTTTCAGTTTAGAAGCCTGTACCACTACACACACCTTATTTTCAAAGAAGAAAAAAATTATCAACTTGGATATAAGTTATCAGATAACAACCTTACAGGAAAAAACTTGAAATCCACCCTTTCAAAAGAAACCCAACACCTTAAATTTTTTTTCTTAGAACGGCAATTTTTTCCACACTCCATGACACAAACACACAGGGGAGTTTCTCACTGGAGAATCGTGGAATCATGTCTGTAGAAGATAAAAGCAAAATCCCAACCACTATACAAAACTTAGGGGATAATTTGCACACAAGTTTTGAGGAATTAAAGGTAGTAAAGGGAAAACTGGTATGCTGCTTTTTACAGAATGTAAAAATGCTACATCAGCAGGTTCCCAAAAATGTGGCATAGACAGATCTTACTAACACTTTACAATTCTCTATGAATTGATTATAATTCTCTATGAACATTTTACAATATTCTATGAATTGATTAAGCTTCTCTACAAACATTTTACAATTTCCTATGAATTGATTGTAATTCTCTACAAACATTTTACAACTTTCTATGAATTGACTGTAATTCTCTTGAGACTTAAAACACCATGATTTAACATAAGTGACAAAAGTATACTTACGATGGGACGTATCTTGCTATTATTTGCAAGGCTCTGTGACATGTGTCAAAATTTGCAGGAAGATCTACAAGGAAAAAGTGACAATACAGTGTCAAGAGAAAACTGAAAGTTATACACTTGAAGTTAAAACACAACTGGCAACCAAAAGTGGATCATTTATCAGCAAAAAAAATAATTTCAAGATTTCCCCCCATAACCAACTATCAATAAGGATTAAACAAAAAATTATGTAAGGAATGCATTAAGGGGAACTGACTGCCTATTAATGGTAAGTGTTAAAACACAAAGAACCATCAAAGGCTGTCATTTCTAATAGTTTACCTATCAGAACAAGTTCCGGAGTTGCCAGAATATTTTATCATTCAGCACAAGCATTCTCCAAGACACAAGCCACAAGACACATTTTTTGCTTTAAGTCTCAATACTTACTCTCATCTTCATCATCAGAATCTGAAACATCTATGTCACCTTCCTTAATGACCACTCGGGCTTTAGAAAGGAAAAGAAAATAAGTTACTTTTCTCTCATTGTCCTAAATACTTAACAGCTATACACAAAAAATCACAAAAGTGATTTTTCTATTGTCCAAACTTAGTGTAATAATTGATAATCTTAAAAAATGACAAATCAAGTTTACTTTTTAAACAGCTAAAAATTCTTGATTTATAAGCCCTCATCAGAAGCTCACCAGAGCAAACTATGTATCATAAAAAATATCACAGCAATGAAATGAATCTAGACGCTTCCACAGCGCTCATTATAGAAAACAGACATGTACAGAACTGCTGCCAAGTATGTATCCTAGAAGATGCCACTGTGGTGCAATCCCCAAAGTGTACTGGGAGGGTAGTTATTCTAATAAAGAGCTATAAAAAACAAAAAAAAAAATCAAAGCAAACAAAGTAACCACTTACGAGGCACAAAATGAGAAGCAATCATGCTGAGACAGGGTCGCAGGAAGACAGTTTGCGCTGACACAAGGTTACCAAGGAAAGCCAAGTACTCCTCCACCACTGTCTGGCTCCTATTCAACCACTGCAACTTCTAAATAGCAGGAGGGTGAGAAAAGACACATTTTGCTGATACAATATACACTATTTTCTAAGCACGGAATCACAGCTATTCATAAATAAATGATGAACTTACCAACAGAATATTGATAAGTTGTTCAAAGTCTTTGGTCAAGTACATGATGGAGGAACGGAATTCTAACAGCCAGTTAATGAGCTGGTCATCCTTAGGTTAAACAAAGAAAAGTACTTTCAAAAATCACAAATTCTCTAAAACAATAGGGGAAAAATGATTCTATTCTGCATGGACATCAATAAATAGTACTTAAATGAGGGCTGTGGGTGAGATGTCACCAACTTGGAATCAAGCCAAAACTCAGGTCAAAATTTTAGTTTCTATCAAAACAGGGGGGAAAAATTGTTAAATTTTCTGTTTAAAAAAAATTAGGGCCCTCCCTGGTGGCGCAACAGGTTCAGATGCAGCACTGCAAGCTGGCAGCAGCCACCTTAGTGCAAGTTGATTCCCTGCCCCGGAGGTGATCAATATGGCGTATCAGACCTCCCCTGACCCACCCGCTGCTCCCCTCAGCAGTGTACTTCGTTGATCTGCCTGTCCTGCTCCCCACTCTGTCTCTGGTGAATCCTCTCACTGCCCCTGCACCTCTGGCCTACACGCCAGTTCTGTATGCATAAATAAATAAATCTTTAGGGAACAAGGCAACTTAAAAAATTAATAGTTTAGTATTTACTGGGGTAAGTCTCAGCACTATGAAGCGATTGGTAGCCACTGCAGCACGAGTTCAACTCCCAGCCAGGGAGTGACCCATATGGCACAGCAAACCTCTCCTGTCTCCACTTCTGCCCTCAGCAGTATTTCACTTAATACGCCTGTCTGTTTCCCACTCTGTCTCTGATGAATCCTCTTACTCCCACTGCCTCTAGCCTACACCCTAGTTCTTGTATGGATAAGTAAATAAAATACACAGGAAAAAGTAGTTCTCTGCTAAACTTCATGCTGATCACTTGTTTGCCCTAAAAAAGTGAAAACACCTTATATGCTGACCCCTGGGAACTTTTAAAAACTGCAAAATTGTAGCAGATTTAATCTAAGACTATAAGGGCCTCGATTTTGTCTGAACTCCCACCTGCCCCCAATCATGACAACCAAAAATGCCTGCAATTCACCCTTAAACATCCTCTGGGGTGCAAAAATGCCCCTGGCTGAAAAGCCGTTAAGAGGCTATTGGAAAGAGCTAGAGGAGGGAACTGCAGCCAAAGAGCAAATTAATATCTATACAAAGTTGCAACAACTTTGCTAATGATCAAACACAAAATTACCTTTATGTCTGGATCTGACAGTTGGTTCTTCAGCAACTCAAATTCATTTGTCTCACCCTTAACAAGAAAAGAAATACATGAAGTTTTTTTTTGCTTTGGTTTCCTGCCAAAGATCAACAGCAAGACTTTTAACAATACCTTATTAGCATCTGATGAAATTACAAAAAAAACAGTTTAACTTTTGTATCAATTGTATGTGTGAAACTGATTATATAATCGCTGCAAAACCTTTAACACTCCTATCAGGGGAGATAGGGAACTTGAAAAAAAGATGACAACTGAAAGGTCATTCATAGTTAGATATATTTGCGTACCTACATCTCAGTGTAACAGGCACTCTTAAGAATTCACAAAAAGTATTTAAGGGTAAAAAAAAAAAAACACCACAATGATCTAATGAGAAAGAGCAAAGATACTACCTGTGTGTATATATAGTTACAAATGCTTACTACAGATAAAAAGTCATTCATAATTCAAAGATTCCAGAGTTATGAAAACTCAGCAAAGAGGTTATTACTTTAATTTCCAGTTGACAGTATCATGCTGCTATTAAATGTTTGATTTCAAGACTGATAACCTAAATTTTAATTATGTATACTGGTCTTCAGTATAAACTATAATTGTTTTCTGGCCAACAAAACCCAATCAGACCTCAATAAACCTCATGTTATCACCTCTTACCTTTTTGTACTTCAGCAAGACTTCTGTCACAGTTCCACCAAACCGAACAGTTTTTCTTGGGGGGGAGCTGAAGAAATCATTCTTCAATGCAAGCATATCTGAAATTCTATAGAACCAAGATTATCAAACTGTTTAGAGTATGACAGAAAATAAAGATTGTAATAGCCAACTTTAACTGAACCGCCACCATTCAGTGAAACTACTGCTACAGCCTAACTGTCCTCCCTAGTTCCACTCCAATCCCCTGACAATCAGTTTTCATACCGCAATATAATGGTCCTTCAAAAACTTAAAATCGACTCTGCCATCCTGCTTAACCCAGACAAAGATTTCCCTCTTAGAATACAGGTCCAAACTTCTTACTGTGTTCTTCCAAGTCTTCCTTTACCTGCTTTACGCTCACCTTCCTGACCTCATCTCTAGTCACCAAAAACACACAGGGCCCTATCTGTTCTTCGAACCTGAGGCCACACTGGCTGCATTTCACTCCATATTCCCTCTATCAGAAACATTCTTACCCCGGATTTATACATGAGTGGATTCTCGCCTTCATTCAAACTGAAGCTCAAACATCAGAGATGCCTTCCATCAGAAATCTGAATTACCTATCTTCTTCCAACTTTCCATCGATTACCCTGCTTTATTTCTTCAGAGCTGTTCCACTCGAAAACATCCAGCTCATTTAATTCTGTGCCTCCCTGCTCACTAAGTTTTGCTGGCAGCAGAGACGCTGTCTATTCTGACTGCTGTTTCCAGTGTTTTAACACAGTAAGTAGGAGTTTAACAAATATTAACAATGATATCATGAGTTTTACGAGGTCTACCTCTTTTAAACAGAGCAGATTAGTGAAAACCGTGGCATCCTACCAATCACTCTCAAAGTTAAAGTTCTAATTATTTCATGGGGGTTAGGAGCTTTAAAAGTTGAACAAGAGATGTTATAATGTGTCGAAATATCTTTTTTTTCTAATTGAGATTCAAGCTGTCATTAATGACAGCTTTCGGTTGATAATGCAAATAGTCTAAGGAACTCTTTCCAAATCTTCGCGCAGAATGGGAAGAGTAATGGGGCAGAAAGCAGGACCCAACCCTGTGGGGAAGGCTGGGGAGGGCATTCTAGAACGGAGACCAGACTCATTTTTCCAGCCCCCCCCCCCCGCCCAACTTCATGAGCCAGGGAAAGGGCATGCGTTCTCTGACGAAATCCTGAGTTGACCCTCCACCTCCGCTCCCATCCCCACTGCACAGCTTTGTCCCAAGCGCTTTCAGATCCGCTCCCTTCATCCTCCTCCTGGGCTTTGGTCCCGGGAGCGCAAAAAGCAACAGCGGGACTCTTACCCGGTCCTCGATGCGCCGAGCGCCTTGACCGCGGAAGCCGAAGAGGCCCCATCTCCGGGTAACCGCGTGTGAAGCAACGGGGCCGCCATTGGGCCCGACAAGCTCGACAACTGCGCCTCGCGGCGGAAGTCGCTTTCCTTCTCGCCCCGCCCTCTGTCCCGGAAGACGCGCATGCGAGCCGCTGCCTTCAGCCAATCAGGAGCCCACGTGGGAGAGCGTCGTGGTCTCGGCGGGCTAGAGCGCCACCAAAGCTTTCCCCAGCCGGCCGCGCGCCGGCCCTGGAGGACTCGGTCAGCCCAGCCTGGTGCGGCGCGCTGGCCGACTCAAGCTGCGGAAGGGGAACCTGTGGCTACCTCCAGCCTCCGGATTCCAGCTAGATCCCCGAGAGGGGCTGAGTGGCGGCTGGGTTTCTGCGAGTATTAAACTTTTTGGAGTCAAAGCGTCCCTGAAACTGACGCCCTGTAATTAACTCAAACCTTCGGTGAAAGCGGGCGGGTTGGGTTCCCATTACGCGGCTTGTTCCTGGAGCCTGGGTTCCATACCCGTCATCCCGTTCTCGTAGACACCCTAGATAAGCCTATCCTCGGGGAAACTGAGGCTAGACCAAGCGACTTATCCAAAAGCCTTGGTGCTGTGGTGATGCGGGATGAGATATCAGAGCGGAGATACCCTTGGTCTTAATATTTTAAAGGAGGAACTGGAGTTAGCCAGACCCACAAAGCGTGTCTTCCACACTTCGGGAACAGCAGGTGCCTAGGCTTGGGCGATGCAGAGGAAGGGACTGCCCCTCCTCCAAAGAGAGAAACATGTTGCAACCTTTAGAAACTATCTAGAACTATCAGAAGTACATACAGTCGGCTACATCAACTTTTTAAGTTTGAGGCGCAGCTCTGTTCTGTAACACTGTGAAACAGTAACTGTTTTCTCCCTTCTCCATGTACTGCCACGGCGTTCTTCCCTCTCTGCTTTAGAATTTCTGCAGTCTGTCCCCCGCCCTCCCTGGTGACCCAAGGGGTTTAAAGCACAGCACTTTGAAGCCATGGGCAGACACTGCAGCCCAGTTCTATCCGACCCAATCTGTGGCCAGGGAGTTGACCCAATTGGTGCAAGAGGCCTCCCCTGTTTCCCCCCAGCGGTGTATCACAGTGGGGTAGACCCTGGAGCCTGGGTCCCATACCTGCCATCCCGTTCTCGTAGACCCCCTAGATAGAGTAGCTGTTTTGCTTCCCACTCTGTCTCTGATGAATCCTCACTCTCCCCCCCACCTCTGGCCTACATCCCAGTCCTTGTATGCATAAATAAAAATCTTTTAGAAATAAAAATAATTTCAACTTGCCTTCATGTAATTATCATATATATTACTAAGAATTACACTATCTACTGTGGCTTGAATTGGTAAAAATTATTTCCATGCTGAATTATGATGCTTCTTGTTTTCAATAAACTCTATGCTTCTAGAATCTATCCCTGTGAGTAGTATTGTAGTCTCCTGAATCATGTGTGGAATTTTTAGGGTACAATTGTTAGCTTGAAGGGTATATAGAACTCTGTCGAAGAGCTTTCTAAAATATACTCCCAATATCTTCTTCCTAAGCGTGGCCACAGCTCCTTCCTTTCCCAAAGAGTAGGCTGTCAAATCCCTTTTTCAATGAAACCTGACAAAAATACAAAAAAAAAGCTTAAAACTGAATTGCATGGACACTATTGGAGTTATTTGGTGTGTCCCTTCACTGAGAGCCCGCTACTCACCCGCTCTACTCCACCCAACATTTCTCATCTTGCCAGGATAAAAGCCTCCTTTATCCAGTCTTACAGTCCCCAGAGTCTTCTCTCTTGTCATCTCCAGCTCTCATCAAAGAAAATAAAGATGCTCTCCAAAAGCAAAACAAAAATAACAACACAGATGAACATTAATGCTGCTGCAAGGTGAAACCTTGCCCACAATGCACTCTTCCTATGACATCATGGTACATTACAGTTGTTCATATTTGTTCTGAACTGCTTTAGTCCAGAATGAATTTTGCTTTATTTTCATATACCCAGAAGACCCATTAAACTGTTGTTGTTGTTTCCAAAAGAACAGTCTTTCTCTAGAGATAAATTTTAAAACCATCTTTTGAGTCATTCTGTTGGTTAAATGCTCTTGGCTTAAGAGTAACAGAAATCACCTTGAGTTAGCTGAAACAAGAAAAAGTTTGTTCTAGGCACACAAGAATATCTTAGATGTCAGAGAAGGACTTCACTTGGGTCAGGTACCCTCCTCTAACCCAATCTAGGAAGTCGGTCATATTGCGCCAAATAGCTCCAACTACAAACAATCAACAAATATTTCTCAAATGGCTGAATGGTAGGAAAGATCCTGATCAACAATTTCTAAATGGTAAAAACGACAGTAGCTATCCCAAATGTCCCTTTCCTCTTCCCACTTTTATAAAATCTCCACTCATTGGAGCCTCACTGGAGGTGCAAGGGGTTAAACCACAGCTTTATGAAGTTGTGCACAGCCACTGCAGCATAAGTTCAATCTCCTGGAGGAGCTGACTCCTCACTGCTCCTGAAGGTAGTATATTCCAACAGGTCTGTCTGCTCTGCTCCCCACTCTGTCTCTGATAAATCCTCTCACCCCCCTGCATCTCTGGCCTATACCCTAGCTCTTGTATGCATAAATAAGTGAAATAAATCTTTACCAAAAAAAAAAAAAAAAGATTAGAGCCATTTCTATTTTTATTTCAAGGTGGCCATCTTCTGCTCTAAGCTCCTGAGTTTCACTGACCACAGTTTCCTAAGAAACATCTCTAACTACCTAAGATGAAACCCAATCAGATTACTACTAGTTAACTATTGCAAACTAGAAGGCTTTTGTAGGCTTCTGCAAACAACACCCCTCTACAATGTCGTTTGCGCCTATCTTATCCTTTGTTCTGTGGTACGCTGAAGTTGATTTTTCTCTAAAGATCCTAACAATAGTTACTAAAACAACTGAAGCACAATTGTTGCAGACATGTATTACTTAAAAATAAATGTATAAATGCCACATGGTTTATAAATAGCTAGTTTCACCCAATTCACTTTTTAAGTTGTATGATTTCAATCATGTTAATTATATTCACAATGTCAAGCAACTAATGCCCAGAAGTCTTTTCATCTGAAACTCAATACCCATTAGACACTGAGTCCAGCACCTCTATTTGTGTGACATTGAGAAAATCACCTAACCTTTCAATATCAAATTTCCCTTCCTCTAAGTGAGATAATGGCACCTACTTATGATGTGACAAGTGAGATGATGTATATAAATTCCTGAGTACAGTATATTATACACACCCAATAAATGTCAGCTATTCCTATTAACAATGTACTATACATGAATGTTGAAAATGGGAATACAAGTGAGTGAAATAAATGAAAATAAGCCTCCTGGCCCGGTGAAGAAGATACCATTATTAGAAAAGATATAATGAGCCATTTTAGGATCTAAAATATTTTTTAAACATCTCTTGTATTACAATATTTTGTTATTCTAGATCAGGATTTCTCAACCTCACACTAATGTTTGGAGCTGGATGATGCTGTGTTGTGACGGATTGTGCATTGAAGGGTGTTTTCCAGCACCTCTGGCCTCTACCCACAGGATGCCAAGTAGAGATACCTTCCTGAACTGCATCTTCATTTTGGTACTTTTTTTAAGATGTATTTATTTATTTATGCATACAAGAACTGGGGTATGGGCCAGAGGTGCAGGGGGTGAGAGGGTTTGCCGGAGACAGAGTGGGGAGCAGAACAGGCAAATTTACTGAAATATACTGCTAGGGGAGCAGCAGGTGGGTCAAGAGAGGTCTGTCATGCCATGTGGATCACCTACCTCCCCCTGGGTAGGGATCTAACTCATGCTTCAGTGGATGGGGATAGCTTCATAGTGCTGCACTTTAACCCACTGTGCCACCAAGAAGGGCCCCATTCTGCAGCTTTGTGTTGCTATGAGATGTCACTTTGAGCCTCAAAGACCAAGCAGGGCATTAGGTTTCTCCCTGCAGCCTCAAGAAGCTCCAAAGCCCACCTCTCTGGCCAGTGGTCTTGGAGGTCTGAGCACCCAGAGTGCTGTTGGCAAATGCCAGACTCTCAACCTGGGCATCAGCAACTTGGCAAACTGCTTCTCCTGGGTTCAGCCAGCAGATCAAGATGAGATGGACTGGTTGTTGGAAAAGTAGGAATGGCACCCTGGTTTCAGGAAGTCACCAAAGTGAAATCCACTGAATTGGATGTAGGCCTGACTGGCCAGGCCCCTCTCCCTTGCTTGGGGCAGCTGCTCTCAGTCAGGTGAGTGACTGCAACTAATGCAACTGGAACCAAAGCAACTGCACAACCTACCCCAGACAAAGGGGGGAGGGGGCAGGAATCTCTCTTTTGTATAAGCAACCCCACAGCCCTAATTTTGCCTTCTGGTCCACAGAGCCTAAAATATTACCTGGCCTTATAGAAAAATGTTGTCAACCTCTCTTTTAGATTAAGTGCTTAAGATAAATACAGAGAAATGTATTATAGCATCCAGTATTTACACAATGTTGTCTTTGTAGCAAAAACAAAAGGATAAATACAAATAAATAAACACAAAGCATTTTCCAAGATGAACCCCCATGATTTAGCCTACGTTTTGGTTAGAGACCAATGCTAATGCTGGTGCCTGATTTTTGTTTTTTGGGTTTTTTTTTTTGGTTTTGGGGAAGATTTGTTTTTATTTTTTTATGAATACAAAACTGGGGTGTAGACCAGAGGTGGGGGGGGCAGTGAGAGGATTCGCCAGAGACAGAGTGAGAAGCAGAACAGGCAGATCTACTGAACTACACTGGTCAGGTGAGCAGTGTGAGAGACAGGTGAGGGCTACTGGGCCCATAGGTGGGTCCCTGGCCAGGGATCGGCTGCAGTGAGTGGCTGGTGATAACTTGATAGGCCCAGTGCAAAGCAGAACTATGGACATCACATACCTTGCTTTAAAAGGCTTCAAAGGTTTACCTCTCATGAACCTCCAAGGCCCAGGCACCCTCAATTGTAGCATCAGGCTACCCTTCCCCAAGGTGGTCCCCAACAAGCCATGCAGTTTATACTTCTGTGTTTTTTGTTGTTGAAGTTTTCCTCTTTGCATGAAATGTTCTTCTCCATCTTCTTCACCCAACAAAACCTACTGTAGGATCCAACTAAAAAAAGCTCTCACCCAGCCCACACCCATACTCTGAAAGCTCTTTGATCCCATTGTGTGTTACACTGTGCTGTTTCCCTCCTCCTGACTCCCTTGATAAACAGTGAATGTATGGGCAGCAGGGACATTTTCCTTCGCTCTGAATCCCCAGTGCTGTATGTACTGCCTGGCGCTTCTAGAAATTCAATAAATGTCAGCACTTGTTGGGAAGGTCTGTACCCTTTCATCTTTAGATGGGTTTACTATTATTACTCCTAGCATTTAGTGTCTGTTCAATATTCCTTCAAGAATTACAATATTCCTTCAAGAATGATTTCAATTGTAGGAATTACCTGGAAGAATAGAATTAAGGGGGGGGGGGGACAATGATCTCTTTTGGTAAGATTCCATCCTTTTCTTCAAGAACTGTTGATTTGTTTAAAGAAAAATATAGATCACAGAATGGTTTTATTTTAGATTCCAAGTGCCAATCTGTACAAAACCAACATAGTCTATGGAGTATCTATAAAAAATGCATGCATGGGCCCTCCCTGGTGGCGCAGCGGGTTAAAGCACAGCACTGAGAATCTGAAGCCACCTCCGCATGAGTTCGATTCCCGCCTGCCGCCTGCCCCGGAGGAGACCACATGGCCAGCCAGACCTCTCCTGGCCCGCCCGCTGCTTCCCTCAGCAGTGTACTTCGTAGATCTGACTGTTCTGCTCCCCACTCTGTCTCTGGTGAAGCCTCTCACTGCCCCTGAGCCTCTGGCCTGTACCCCAGTTCTGTATGAATAAATAAATAAAAATCTTTAAAAAAAAAAAGTGCATGCATGCATTTAGAGAGAGAATGTAGAGAGGGTCTCTTAAAGGAGATTTGGACAGAACTCTAAGGAAATTATGAGTTTGACATCTACCTAGTATTCAGTTCTATTCCTTGCTGGATATGAAGCAAACCTACATGAAATGAAGATGAACACTTTCTTGGATAATATGTTGTTGGCATTTAAACAATAAGTATAACAATCTCAAAGTCTTTCTCTGCACCACACTGCCAGACTCCTTTTGCAAAGAGTAGGTAACTTAAGGAGCAAGAATATAGAGACCAGGAAATTGGTGTTCTACAAAAAATATCACTATGAGTGAAGCAGATTCACCAATTTTGACCTTCATTTTCTTATTGTTCAAGGGCTGGAGAGTTACGTGAAATATTTCCTTAACAGACTTATCCATCAGTTCTTCAAACATGTGAGCCAAAAGGATCATGTGATTTAGTACAAATAAGCCAAATTTCAGGTTCCAAACTTACAAATAAGTTTTCCAAATTTCAAGTTCCAAGTTTCACCTACACAATTTTAACTCTGACTCGTGTAAACATTTTTTTACTTAAATGTATTTAGAAAAGTAACCAACACTTTTATAAATAGAAAAATCATTATCACTTGGCATCAACATAAGTTATTTAATACTATTAAATCCTAGCTGGGTGCAACTGCTGCCTACCAAAGCATTAGAGAAGTGTTATGCTCCAGATTACTAAACTCAAGCTAGAGACATCCTTGACATAGTAAGATACTGGAGAATAATTGAAAAGGGAATAATTTTCCCATTTAAGGACTCACTGCTATCACCTTGTGTTCCAGTAGCCCCTAAAACCACCATTTCAGAAACCTTGCATCGCCTTCCCAGAGTCTGCCCTTCAGCTGCTCAGGCTCTCTGACTCCAGACTCAGGAAGGAATTTATCATCACCCTTTCCCTACTGAGCCTCCTCAGAGCACTAGGTTTCAAAAGTCTGCCAAAGTCCGAAAGGTTGAATTCTTGAAGGTGAAGGCCACTTCACTGCCAATAACTTTAAATTCTGTTTAATTCTTAAAAAAATTCTCGAACAGAAGGGGAGGAGGGAACCAACAGCACATAGACCTGAAACAAACAAGGAAGATGGTGAAGATTCCTCCAAGGCACTTACTTGAAAGAGGCCTGAGGGCCCCTGTGATAGCGGGTCTGGCTCTGTACTAGAGGGTGAGACTTATCTTCCCGTCCAAGGTGGGGACAAGTGCCATTTATAGGGGTCACAGACTGCTTAGGCCCCAGTGCCTGGAGCAGGGGACTTGGGGTGGTGGTTGGGGTGCTGCCACATCAAGAAGTTTCTTTCTTATCTCCTGGTTGACCAGTGGCAGGGTCTGGAAACTCAAAACTGTCTGTTTCTGAACCTCCTGGCTTGATGAAGACCTGCTCAAAGGGATCTCTTGAACTAAAGACCTCTTGTGATATAGGGCCTGAAGTTAATGGCCAACCATGAAGGGCCATGGCTCCGGCGATCTGCTCTGAAAAGCCTGTGGTGGCAGCTGGGGCAACAGAGACCTGAGTGGCCGCCTTTTGGCCTCGGGAAGTGTGATGAGGCTGACAATGGTTTTGGGTGAAGTCGACCTGAGTAAGATTCTGAAGCTGGATGGGGAGAGCTGGGGATACTTGGAGGCGACTCTGTACAGTCACAGACAGGGGGGACTGGCGCAGGGGGGGCTGGGGCTGAGCAGACATAGAGAAGGCAGACTGGCTCCCAGGGGCAGGGGTGACCACAGGCTGATTGGGCAGAGGGACAGGAGACCGGTTCGAAGGGAAGAGGATGATCTGCGGGATCTGACTGGAAGCTGAGCGCGCCGAAGAGGAGCCGACGGTGGTAGAGGTGAGCTGAGACCCGCTCTTGGGCGTGAAAGCACTTGAAGATGGACTTGAGCCTGAGCGGCAGAAGGGCAGGCTCTGGGAAGGCGAGAAGGCTGGAGGCAAAGGCAGGATCTGGCGGGGCCTGCCGGCCCTGGGGTTTGGGGAGGACAATGCCCTGGAAGGTCCGCCCGCTTCAGCCTTGGGACGCGGATAAAAGCCTGGAGTCGCGGCGCTCGCCTCAACCCTTTCGCTCGCGTCTTTGCCGTGTTGCGTTTCTACCTGGTCCTTGACAATCATACTCTGAGACGACTTTTGAAAGTCACCGGGGCGCAGCCGCTGCTGGCGCAGCCGCAAGAAGGTGGCGGAGAGGTTGCCCAAGTTGAAAGAGAAGCGGTAGCTGTGGCCGCCCCCCAGAAAGTTCAGCAAGGCGGCGGGGGGCCTTTGATCGCCCTCCTTGATGGCCTCCTCGGGAGGCAGTTCGATGTTGCCGGTGTACCAGAAGACCCACCAGAGGAGGCTGAAGAAGATGATGATGGAGCCCCCGTAGAGCAGCAGGTCGCAGTACAGCGCATGGGCGAAGACTCCTGCGAACATCAGCGATGCGCCCGCCGCGTCGAAGACCACGCCGAGCCAGAAGAAATGCTTGCAGCGGCCCAGGTGCGTCCGCTTCTGGCTCTCCTCCACCCGGGCGCTCGAACGCTCCATGAGCTCCAGCCGCCGCCAGGTCCGCAGAGGCAACCCGGGAAGAGGCGCCGCCACCCGCCGGCGGCGGCCGCTGGGTCCTCATGGCAACGCCTGGGGGGCGGGGGCAGCCGGCCAGGGGGCGGGGCAGGGGGCGGGAAAGCCCGGCTGCTGCTCACCTGCGCTCCGCAAGGACGCCGCCCGGAAGAGGGCGCATGCGCAATGCTCGCCGCCGCGCGCGCGACCGTCATCTGCGCATGCGTCCGTCTCTAGGCGCGGCTGGAGACTACCTGCCAGGACTGTGGGCGGTGTCCCTGCCACGTGGGGCGGGGCAGTTGAGGGGTAGGTATCCAGATATCTTACCCCACACCCCCGCCCTCCCGAGCGAGGGCGAGAGCCTGAGGAGAGCCAAGGGCTGGGGACCCACTGCTAGTAATTTGCCCCCTCAGAGTAGAAGGCTGCTGGGTCCCAGGTCCTGCCACTGACCGCGGAGTTCTTGGTTTTTCCTTCTCTTGGTGGAGAAATGGCTGCTTTAGGGTCATTTGTTAGACTGCTAATTCTGACAGCTGTTTGGTAGTGACTGGACTCTTCCCAAACACGTTAATAGCCACCCTAAAGGCGAATTCTCTGAGGGTTTCCCCACCCTCTCCTGTTTCTTCTTTGTTACCGCCATTCGTGTTGTCCTGTTTGCCAACTGGACCAAGATAAAAAAAAAAAAAAACTGGCTGGAACTGAAGTTTTCAGTTTACCCTGCGATCATTCAGATTACATCAATGAAAAGTCTACAGAAGGACTGGCCTTTGGTTCCTCATTTGCTAAGGGCAAAGTTTTAAAAAATAATCCTGTATTACAGAATAGCTTCAGATTTACAAAAAAGCTATGAAAATGGCATAGAGTTCCTATACTTTACTCCAAGTATCAGATAACTTTCCTTTTTTTTTTTTAATGCATACAAAGTTCCTTACTTCTTTTTATAGGTGATTCTAGAAATTTAGGAAGCAGTGTTCCATGAACCTCTCAGTACCAGTTCACAAGATAAAACTCGGTTTATTTTCCTACAATTTCAACTTTGCTTGAGTACTTTAAAATACTAAAATTACAAAAGCAAACACGTATTATAAAGTAGAATCTAAAATGAGAAAGCAAAGTTTTTGAGCTAAATATAGTTGATGCAAATTTATCCCTCCTGGGCTACACAGGAATTTTTGACAATGTGCAACTGTATATAAACATGATACACCTTACTTACAGTAACCCCCATTTCTTAGCAAAACTTGAACAATTGTTTCCTTAACCTGGCTATTGTAAATAGTGCTGCACTGAACACAGGAGTGCATCTAGCTCTTAGAATTAGTGTTTTTATATTCTTTAAGTATATGCCTACAAGTAATTGCTGGGTCATATGGTATATCAATTTTTAATTTTACTATTTCGAGGAACTTCATACTGTTTTCACTAGGGCTAGACCAGTCTACATTCCCAACAGTGTGTGAGCATTCCTTTTTCTCCTCACCCTCCCCAACACATTTTTAAAGCTGTATTAACAGGTGCTTACAGTTTATTGACTTTTTTGAAAAAAAAGCTGTAAACTTTTATTACAAATTAAAAGGTTCTTAAATCTCAACAGATATGAAACGATTTTTAAAAAGTATATTGAGGGAAAAAAACTGGTCTTTAAAAAAAACACATTTGTTATCACCAAAAAGACACATCTTTAGGTAAATTAAAAACACCACACTGTATATATAGTGCAGGTAGTTCTGGTTACCTGTCATTAAGCAGAAAGCAAGCACTTAAGGTCTTCATTGCCAAGCTTTTGTTCATTTCTTATTGCTAGAATTTCATATTCATTTCTTCTTGTTGGGTAACTAAAGCAGATTATGATAAAGATGGCACTTTGGCATTTACTCAGTCCTGCCCTCTTCAGCCTCTGGAGCAAACAAATTCTCAGCTGGTGGGTTGGCTGCCTTTGTCCCTTTGCCATCTGTGGCTTAGGGTTGCCTGGGCACCTACTTCAGTTCTGAAGCTGGGCAGTAAGGATGTTGCAGTAGCTGCTCAACTTGGTCTGATCTCATTCATTTTCTTTTTGTTTTTCATTGTGGTCCTCTCTAGCTGTTTTTCCACACCAACAGTTGTTCTTTCTTTTTTTTAATCTTTTATTTTTAAAGATTTATTTATTTATGCATATAAGAGCTAGGGTATAGGCCAGAGGTGTTGGGGGGTGGGGAGGGAATGAGAAGATTCACCAGAGTGGGGAGCAGAACAGGTAGATCCACTGAAATACACTTCTGAAGAGAGCAGTGGGGAGACAGGAGAGGTCTGCTGTACCATGTGGGTCACTTCCCTGGCTGGGGATTGAACTTGTGCTGCAGTGGCTGCCAGTAGCTTCACAATGCTAAAACTTAACCCTTTGTGCTACCAAAAAGCACCCTAAAATCCCTTTTATATTAGTTTCTCTTATGCCATCATGGGAAAAAATTGCTCTTATGTCACCATTCCTATATAAACATAGCAGTGCCTCTCAGCAGAAACTTCCTAACAAGCATTTCTAATGTCAAAGGAAAGCTTGGAGATGCAGCACAAAGCTATATTTCCTATTATGTATTCAATGTAGGGCTTCTATCCTATTCTGTAATACTCCCCATGATGATGATTTTTTTTAAGATTTACTTAATTATGCACACAAGAACTGGGATACAGGACAGAGGTGCAGGGAGGTGAGAAGATTCATGAGCAGATTCATGACAGAGTGGGGAGCAGAACAGGCAGATCTACTGAAATACACTGCTGAGGGGAGCAGTGGGTGAGACAGGAGAGGTCAGCTGTGCCGTGTGGGTCAGCTCCCTGGCCAGGGATGGAACTTGTGCTGCAGTGGCTGCGGATAGCTTCATTGTGCTGTGCTTTAACTCCTTGGGCCACCAGGGAGGACTCTTCCTCCCAATGATGATTTTAATATAAGAAAACTATATTTGATACAGCAAATAGATAAATATGCGAAAAATAAAAGTAAATTTACAAAATTTTCTTCATATTCTTTGAAGTTTTGCATTGCTGGCTTCACATTTGAAATAGCAGTCCCCTCCTCTAACCTAAATCTACTAAGTCTAGTCTAGCCTAAGTGCCTTCTGGAGAGAGATCTTCTGTCAGCCTTGCTAGAAACACTGAGGATGTCCTTATGCTTTAACAGTTCCATGATTCTTGCTCCCTCTTGTGGCCCAATTCTTAATGTTTCATGCCTTCTCTGAATCCCGCCAGTGAGACTGAGTTCTGGTGGCCTTTCTTTTGTTTTACCAAAGGTGGTGCTAAAGCACAAGTTTAGCTTCTTTAGCCTGTGTGTTCTGGTGGCTTTGGGTGTAGTCACTAGCTATCTCCCAAAGCTGCTCTCACTGTGCCCATCAGAGCCAAGCAAGAGAGGTGGGGTGGGGCGGGGAGAGTAGAAGGGCACATGTGGAACACTTGGGGTGCCTATGTGCCAGTTGGCAGTTGAGGCATTCCCTATGTCACACCCTGTGGCACACATGTGGCCTTACTGACCGAATCCATAATACAGCTAGTAGGGTCTCCCTTCTTTTCAGGTCCTCTGAGAATCCTATCTGCCTCTACCATCTTCTTCCCAACTTCTAGTCAGATAGATTGTGATGCAGTGCCCTGGGTGGGGTGAGAAAAATAAGTCCCTATGGCAGCATCTTGCATAACTGGGGGAGCCAGGGGCTCACCTACATGCTTCCCTGGGGAGCTATAATGAGCCAAGATGTCTGTTGGCCCCAAGTGGAACCACCTTGGGGAGGGGCGATGCCGGTAAAGTCAAACTTTTCCTCTTTCTCCAGTGTTTTGAGACTTAGTAGCGTGCTAGAGCGTGTCTGGAAACCTGGGCTTCCACAAAAGTGCCCTTGTCCATGGGACTCCAGACCATGGCAGAGAGAGACTAGAGCAATTCACAGGCCACATTTAGGACAGAGATTTCTCTACCTCTTCCTGGAACTAAAATGAAAGTATTTCTCTAAGAAAGGGACTGTTTCTACTCAAAGAGAAAAAGAATAGAAGCTCCTTTTCCCTTTCCTTCAATCTGCCTTCCAGTCTGTTAAGAGCTTAATATGCTTTGTTTCAGTTGTTTTTCAATGCACTTATGCATTAACTATTATACATAGACCGTTTTTTAAAAGCTGGATTACGCCTAAGTAGGATGATTTTTTAAATAGTTTTTTTTTATGTGATTTTCTAGCCATTACATCTATTACTGCAGAGAAAATCTTCAGTTCACACGAAGGTAAGCACATAAAACAGAATCTTTTTTTTTTTTAAAGATTTGTTTATTTGTGCATACAGAACTGGGATACAGGCGCAGGGGCAGCGAGAGGCTTCACCAGAGACAGAGTGGGGAGCAGAACAGGCAGATCAACGAAGTACACTGCTGAGGGGAGCAGCGGGCAGGTCAGGAGAGGTCTGCCACGTCATGTGGTCCCCTCCAGGGTAGGCGGGAATCAAACTCATGCAGAAGTGGCTTTAGCTTCTCAGTGCTGTGCTTTAGCCTGCTGTGCCACCAGGGAGGGCCCAGAATCATCTTTTTTAAGTGTCATTTCATTTCAATCATAGTTTATGTACAATAAGCCTTGGGCTTAGAATGCTTAACATGGCAATTTAATTATTTGCCAAATATCCCAGGGGAGCAGGAAAAAATAGTGCGCCAAGGGAGTGAGCTTGAACCATGCCTACCATCTGCATCCCAGCTTTCTCATTCTGTCTAAATCAAATGGGCAAAGTTTGCTACTAATGGCATTTGAGAAAGTATCATGACCCACTCTTATTTGTGGAGGTTCTAGCTCTCTGCACAACCAGACTTTGCTCCCTTGTAAGACTCACTATGCAACCTAGGAAGGACATGCAGAACAAGAATCTTCACATTGCATTCCTGGTTATGGGTTGGGTTATGCCCCACAAAATTCATAGGCTCAAGTCCTAGGAAAGGGGCTTTATTTGGAGATAGAACCTAGAAGGAGCTAATGAGCTTAAACAAGGCCATAAGTGTGGGATGTTAATCCCATGGGGTTAATGTCCTTACTAGAAGGAGAAGCTCTTGCTTTGAGAGTGTTTAGATACAGCATTCCCAGGCCAGCCCCTTACTCCTCTTTTCTAGTCTCAACCTTCAGATCCACCTTCTTTTTCTAAAGATTTATTTATGCATATAGAACTGGGGTAGAGGCCAGAGGTGTTTGGGGGTGTGGTGAGAGGATTCACCAGAGACAGAGTGGGGAGCAGAATAGGCAGATCCATTGAAATACACTGCTGAGGGGAGTGGCGGGCGGGTCAGGAGAGGTCTGCTG